CCACAGGAGCAACTAAATTTGTAGATACACATAGAAGTGGCTTCATCGATCATGACTGGTCGGTTGGAAAATGACAAACAAAGGGTGGCGGCAGTATAAATCCATTTCATTGCTCTCGATAATCTTAGTAGTAAGACTTCACTAGCCGCGTCCCCACTAAATTACAATTTTAGCAACAAATGTTTTTTTAAGCTGTTGTCAGTTTATCTTTATTATACCTGGTGTTCGTGCGTCTCCTTAAAAATCTACTTGGATAACCCATTTGGATCAGCGTATTTCGAATGTATCCTAATTCATTTTCTAGGGAGTCATCTGTAAATTAGAGTAAAGCCTGAAGAAGATCGAAATGAAAACGACAATATTGTTCGCTTATATTTCTTATTCTAATTTGTTTAAAACTCTTACGTAACTTTATACTGCTCTTCGTTTCTATGTTCATCTTGATCACAAGTCACACATTATTCATCTTATTTTGTAACATTAATACAAGCAGATATGATGGAGATGATCTGTAGCTCAGGTGGGTGATTTTGATGTGGTTTTGTTCTCTGACCTGGATAGTTTATATGAGAAGCTTTCATTGCCCTAATAGGAAACGTCTTCAACGCATACTACTTCAGTTTGTTGAAGTGAGCTTTTAGATTTCTCCACGAGTTTATTAATCATCTCTCCTGGTGGGTGAACTTGAACGTCACTGGTTGTTTTTGTGTGTTTTCAAACCCTCGAGGTTACTTGTATTGGAACTGATTGTTTCCTTGACTTGAAGTTTGACTCTTTGAGTGTAAGATTTCCTTTTTATCGATTGGTAAATTTTGTCTATCTCGATGTGTTTAATAATTGATGATTCACTGGAATACCAGACGGGCTTCTAAAAGTTCTCTAGCATTCTTGGTGTTTCGTCTGCTTAATATTTTGACGTTGTCCCAGTTGAATTGATATCCGTGGTTGTCTGTATGTAGTGATAAGCGGGAGTCGATGTCATTTACTTCGACCGCTAGTTTATTTTCATGGATACGAAGACGAAGAGGACGTCCACTTTGGCCAATGCTGTGCTTTTTGCAGTCGTTACAATTTATTTTGTAGATGATGTTGGTTTTATCATCTTTCGTTGTTGAGTCTTTTAGTTGACATAGAACTGATTGAGGTGATTCCGTTGATTTGTGTGTGACGTCGATTCCTAAAGGTTTGAAGTCTTGCAGTGATTTCTGAGATGTTCTTTATGTATGGAAGGGCGATTTCCTTTGTGCTTTCCTTGGGGGCCTTTGATTTGGTAGGTTGACTTGGGGGTATATGTCTTTTGATGAAATTCCGTGGATATCCAGTGTTTTGGAAGACGTCCATGAGATATCTCTTTCCAATTTTCTTTAAGGTGGGAGTGCTGCAATGAGTCCTGGCCCTCTTGAATAGTGTTGGTATGCAATTCCTTTTGTATGTTATTGGATTGTTGGTGTTGTAATTCAGGATTTGGTGTGTGTGAGTTGATTTCCTATAAACTTGAGTTTCTAATTCCCCTGTGGTTATCCGCTTGACTAAGACGTCCAAAAATGAAATTTTGTTCTCGGATTCCTCTTCTCTTGTGAATTTGATGTCGTTGAAGACATTGTTTATTAAGTTGTGAGTTATATCCAGCTCGTTTCTTTTGATTATGACAAATGTGTCGTCCACGTAACGTATTTTATTTTTATTTTGATTACAGCTTGATTCCACACCATATTTTCAGTACAAGTATGGAATTTTCAGCATGGATATCGGTAGCCGAAATTTACAGGCAGACCATAGATATCGGGTGTGCGTCGGCAGGGGATCGAACCCCGGACCATGTGCATCGTCGGCGAGAGTCCTAACCACTGTGCCACCGACGCACAAATCTTGGGTTTGATCCGTTAACTATCCAGCTCAGAGAACACAACCACATGAAAACACTGAGTCCCTATTAACAGAAAAATAGCTAAACACTTATCCGAGATCAACAGCAAGACCCATTAAGTCAGCCATAGATACAGCTGTAACAGTTGTTAATAAACTGAAGCCACTTCAGCCGAACTGATAAATACAAGAAGACTGATTCCAATGGACTCCGAATATGATTAGGAGTGAAACCTGCTCAAATACAGACTGACCGTGAACAGTGGTGGGTGACGAAAGCAAAAGAGTTGGAAAAAGTATCAGCAATAGGTAACGCCAGACAACTATTTAGGCCTATCAAATCAAGGAAACAGGTGGTAAAAGGCAAATGATAAGGGAAACAATCTCCGAGAAACATTGGCACCCTAATTAACTCTCAGGATAGACGACTGGAACGTTGGAAGGGACAGTTTTTGTGTAAAGTTCTATGCTGAAACCAACCAGCCAGTCAGTCTATGTTAGCAAGTGTATGATAAGGGATTGATACAATTAGATTATGAGTTATTAGTGTAAATTTCTTCATAGACTTATTGAAAAGGTCCCGGATTCAGACACTGGCAGTGACACAGTATCATGAGTTCGACTCCTGCCAAAGAGTCCGAAACAATTGTCCAGTTCTTCCTGATTTTTCAGCAGTGACTCACCATTTGATGGTGTTATATGGTGACTTAAATCTATACTGAGTATAACGGAATAATTGTTTGCAAGCTCGCTCCTCAACGATCGAATAACAATATACACACTTATTTGGATATTTCAACAAACTATGTAAAATTATTTTCCATTCTTCTTTTAGACTGTGTATATCAGTACTCTGACATTTGCATATCATCATATGTTGACGTGATCCTTATTATTTGTCTTTGTCCCTTTTTAGGCTCTAATATGAATGCTTCTCTTTTTGGTTGTGTGATACTGTTGATAATGTGTTATTTTACGACTGCACTTTTGTTTGAGTGAATCAATCAAAGTCATTTTGAAATTGAACTGTCTGAGAGAATTTTTGGTATCTCAATCTTGCTGATAGAATCTTTGATCCCCACCTTGTTGGGAATATCCTTATTCTCAAGAGTTAGCTAGTGGGGATTTGATTTCTTTTGGATATTATAAGTAACAAGAAGTGGATGCATCTGCGCTACCCATCATTGACAATGACTTTGAGCCATATCACCAATTGTCTCCAGCCTTCATTGGTTTTTACTGTCCCGAGGATCCCAAACAGTCAGGAAGTCTACACTGTAGTAGGTTTCATTGACTGATGAGTCCATGTTTTGGTTTGATCATTACCACTGGCTCAATTCCAACCTGATCCATCCTATGTCAGCTAACATTGCCTGTTGTCGAGGAAGGCGATTGCTAGGCATGTGTAACACATGTCCTAACCATCTCAGTCGATGTAACTTCACAGCCTCGTCAATTGATTTCCAATTCCGCCTTACCTAGAACTCGACCTATGCGTCACCTCGATATTGCTCACCCTATTACACCCACCACCTAACACGCGAGATAGAACGCAGACACCTATGATCAAAGACAGCTAACCGACCTTTTCATGTCTTCCACTTTCAATGTCCGTGTCTAACTCACAACCATAAAGGAGGATGGAGCGGACTGCTGAGCAGTACACACGCCCTTTGGTCCACAGCCAGCCAGATATCACGTCTACTAAGCCAGAGACGGCGTTACCTGGCATATGCGAAACTAGCCTTCTGTATCTGTGCTGAGATTTCGTCAGCGATCAAGCCGTTGGCGCTGGCTGATGCAACTCCCCAAATGACCATCAACCGCTTCACTCCCTATCTTTAAGCTAGCAGTCAGTCCACGTATTCCACTTCTGTAGCATCATCTTACATTTGACAGCAGGCGCGAATCGCATGCCGAACATTCTGAGATTGCTGCTGAAGGTGTTCAGAAGACTCAACATTTTGTCAGCGTCTTAACCCAGTAGGGAGGACTATATAATCTGCATATTCTAAGTCAACGAGATTATTCCCTGATAGTAACAAGTCCATCCCTGAGTCGCTGAAGTCAGTTAGGGTTAAGTTCATTAGTACATCTATGATGAGACTAAATAGAAATGGGGATAGTGGCCATCCCCTCTGATGGACACCACTGCACTGGTTGTCATCACTTCAGAGGACAATTCGCCGTAAGTTTTCACCTGGCTGGCTGCATGAGTTCGAGTAGAGTGAGTGCCTTGATCAGTGCGATGTATTTTCTCGGGATTTCCTTTACAATCAAGCATCGCCATAGTACCTCTAGGTAGACAGAATCGAATGTTGTTGGACACCCATAAGAATGCCTATGTTCTAGAATCTGTCGAAGGGTGAAGATATGATCAATACACCTTCTTCCTAGTCTAACGCCTGCTTGGTTCTCTCGTGTTTGTGCCTCCCGAACACCACTTAGTCTACGCATTATTATTAAGCCTAGGATTTTAGATACTATATTAGTCAAGCTAATCCCTCTGTGATTATCACAGGAAGAATTGTCTCCCTTCTTATATATGGGGATAATCAATGCCTTACACCTACCCGACGGGATTTCCTCTGATTCCCAGACGCTGCCTAGTACCTCAGTTAACGCAGACAGTAAACTGTCTCCACCGTACTTAAATACCTCTGGAGTCATCCCATCAAGTCCTGCTGCTTTGCCTCGTTTCAGACTAATGACAGCCTTAGTAACCTCAGTTAGGGACGGAGGACCTGTGTGAAGTGTGGCGACTCGAAATGCTGCACACAGGTGCAAGGTTTTGTGTTGAAACGAGACAGACATTCTACCACAGTGGCCGAGTTCTACACTTTTATTGACGATATTTGTGTGTTGCAGTCATCTTTAGCAACATAACTTTCTCACAACTTGATCGATTGACCTTTCCTTCATACCTAACACTCCACACAGGCCAAACTTCAAATATTAGTTCACAATATTGTAACCACTTAACCCTATTGATGATAACTAGATAGAATGCAAACGAATCTGTCATTTTAAAAAAGTGAGAGCTGCATTAGAAAATCTGTATATTTTTGTACAAAATAACCGTTACAGAAAAAAAAAATATGCATATATATATATACGGAGAAAGGTTATCATCATTAACTGTCAGAATTGTTCTTCGGAACCATCGGCTCAACGGAACATGACTGTTTAAATTTATCTGAAAACGAAAGAGAAGACGAACACAGGGTTTACTTCACCTGAGTGACACGTAATTTTTGAAATTATACTAAGAATATGAAGTGTAACGCCACAGACCTAGTGAGAATTGCACATTCGTTAGATCATGCTATGCCGTGTGCTACTACTGATAAGATTTGTCAGTAGTACATATAGATATCTTGTTACCAATAGCAGAAATCAAAGCTAAACGTAATGATGTCACTCTCTTATTGAACAGTTCTTATGAGTATGAGTAAGGTCATTTTTCTCCAGCAGGCTAATTTCTTCTGTTTAATATTATTAGGTGGTTGGTGGCAATCGGAAGTCTTGGATCTAGGTTTCGTGCTTGTTTTTAATAATAATAATAATAATGACTTTATTCCAAACAGTATTTGTGGTACAGGTATGGAATTTTCAGCGTTGGCACTCATCAGTCAACCACCTTGAAGCAACTCATGTCGCCTCTGAGATTCGAACCCCTGAGTCGGAAACGTTACCACTGCACTCCATGGGTTCGATTCTCAGAAGGGACATTAGTGTTCCTTCAAGGTGGTTGCAGATACGCCTGCTTTGTTGACTGATGAATGCCAACAGACACGAAACCTAATTCAATCAAGACTTCCTGTGGGGCCGATTATCTCCAACCACCTAATATCATCAAATCAGTGTGCACCTTGATGGCGAGACACCTAGAACGGTAGCCAAATTGCAAACCTGACTGATAAAATTCCGTCTGCACCAAAGAAAGGACTAGACACATCACACTAGTTACTAGTGTCTGATCAAAGTGATATTTGTGTGCCGATGAACGTCTCTTTATGTATATACATATATATATATATATATATATATATATATATATGGCTGAACTATACTCCAAATTTCTTATTATCTTATTAGGGTCAACTAATCTAGATTTTGCTAGGTTTTATGCTCAGCTAGTAAGATTGCACCTGTTCTACTACTATGACCTATGTATCTGACCTGACAATCATTACAGCACGGTATTAGATAAACTAGATTGTTTTTTTTAACTGGCTCCACAGTCAGGATCTTTTAACCTACAAAGTTTGTTTCTAATTGAGTTTGTGGGTGGTTTGAATGCCACTTTTTTCCTGCCTTGCTAAGAGTTCTGCGTAAGGTTTCCGAGGTTCCTTCTTTGTATAGAAGCACAACTGATGTTTTAAATTCACCATTTTTGGCGTTGTCATTATTCTGTGCAAATTTGTCAAAGTAGTAGAACCATTAGCATCGAGTACATCAAAATCTAGATTAGTTGACCCTCATAAGACAATAGCAAACCTGGAGAATAGTTCAGCCGTAGATAACACTATATACAATTACACACACGCAACCATAAAAGAGGATAGGATAAGATGATAGTTCTAAAATCCGGTATAACAGGGTGGAGGGAACAGAACTGATAACAGAAGCTTTATGCTTATCGAATTGACTGAGGAGAATACGTGCAATCGGAATTATTCAACACTAGTCCACCCGGACATCTAGAAAATTCTATTCGAAGTTGTGTGATTATAATTGATGATATGATTATGAACAACAAATAAATTTTGTTCGAAACCTCGTCATCCAGTATATAATACTGTTTCTTCACTGTGTGTATGATATATCTAATAAACAGATCAATATGGAATTACATACTACCACAGCAGTGTTCAAGTCTTACACATATATTAATCTCATGGATAGTTAGTTGTGTGTGTGTGTGAGCGTGCGTATTATGTGTACAGTCACAAATAAAAAACACAAGGTAACTACTTAATAGTTTGATTGGACACTAGTAACTAGTGTGACGTGTCTAGTCCTTTCTTTGGTGCAGACTGAATTCTATCAGTCAGTCAGGTTTGCAGTGTGGCCACCATGCCACTAGGTAGCTCACCATCACGGCGCACATTGATTTGATGATATTAGATAGTTGGAGGTTGCAGATACGCCTTGCTGACTGGTGAGTGCCAACTAGCACGAAACCTAGGTCGAAGGCTTCCTGCCGATTGCCTCCAACTATCTAATAACTACTTAATTAATTAAGCATACAATTATATTTATATATTCAATTTTTACTTACTGCGTATTGAAGTGACATCTTTCAATTCATTTCCATCGCCATCCGCGTCGTCATCATCCTCCTCATCTGAATCATCATCATTCTGTGGACGTAGTTCAACTCCATCAACATCAGGAAGTGGATCTCTATCTGCATCATCATCATTACCAGCGATATCTAAAAGCATCGGTGTATGCTTCACGGTTTTAAACTTCTTATTGCCACTTGATTGACCTATGGAAGGAAAAGAAAAGAGGTGAGCGGGGGGGGGGCGATTTAAAACACACACACGCACGCACATCGCTTATTATATTATTATTGTAACCTTTAATTCCTACAGGAACATAGACCTTCAGCCGTGCATCTCCATTGCGTTCAGTTCTCTGCTGGATTCTTCACCTGGCTCCATGTCTGCCCACACTTTTTCATCTCCTCTTCACATCACCTCCTACAAGTCACCCTTGCATTGACGACCAACTCGCCGCTTCCCTATCGGGTTCCACTCGAGCAATGGCTTGTCTAGTGATGTCACTTGATGGTTTCCTCAGAGTATGACCAGCCAATCCATCTCCATTTCCTTCTGCATATTTGTTTCACAATCGGTTCATGGTTGGTTTGCTCCCAGAGATCTCTGTTGCTGATCTTCTATGGCCATCTGATTTTGAGTAGTATTGAGCGAAGACAACTGTTAATGAAGGTCTGTAGTTTGTTTGAGTCGCTCTTCATCACGCGCCAATTCTCTGATCCGTATAGAGTAGCACTGACTTCACATTAGAGTTGAAAATCCGGATCTTGTTTTTGATGCTGATTGCTGTTGACCTCCACACAAACTTGAGAGTAGTGAAAGCTTGTTTTGCTTTTCCGATTCTTGCTTTGATATCCTAGTCAGTTCCGCTTGTAGTTGAAACGATGTTTCCCAGGTAGGTAAAAGAGGTTGTTTCTTTCAGATTTCTCCCATTTATGCTGATTGTTGTCTGTTGTTGTTGCTGTTGGTGGTGTTGCCCAGGAATCTTCATCACCTCTGTTTTCTCTATGTTCACCTTAAGTCCTTCCTATCGTTCCTGGATGCTTCTTCTGTCAACTTGTTGCTTTTCGCTTGCATATCTTCCAGTTTGTAGCAAATCAGACATGTATCATCGGCGAAGTCCAAGTTTTTTGTGTGAGTCCATTTTATGCCTGTTTCCTCATTGCCCGCTGTCTGTCGCATTATCCAATCTACTGCAATCAGGAAAATCATTGGCGATAGTAGACAGCCTTGTCTTACTCCTGTCCTCACTTCGAAGGATTCCGTAAGTTTCCCGTTGTGGATATTTTCACATGCAGCATTGTTTTACAACCGTTGAATGAGGTGTATAATTGTCGGTGGCACGTCGTAGTAGCGAAGTAGTTATCAAATCATCTCTCGATCGACGCTGTCAAAGTCCTTTTCAAAGTCGATGAAGTTGAGATAGAGAGGTGACTGCCATTCCAAGCTTTGTTCAATGATGATCCGTAATGTGGCGATCTGGTCAATGCATGACTTGTTTCTCCTGAATCCAACCTGTTCCGGTCGAAGTTTTTCATCCAGGGCGGCTTGTTTGATTCTCTCCAGGATGATGCGGCTTAGTACTTTGCTTGGGATAGACAGGAGCATAATTCTGCGCCAGTTCTTGCATTGACATCGCTTATTATCACGAGGAAAATTTGCTTATAAACACACAGAAGTTATGCTGCTCCTGCTGTCTTACATCATAATATTGTTTCCCGATTAGATAAAGGAGTCGAAAATATATTCAGTGTACCTTCTTTGACTCGAAGTGAATACAGGAGTAAAACAAGGCGGGCTGCCTGCCAGTTACCATCACGGATGATATTCTTAATTGTGGTGGACTGATTGGATTATGCGTCAGACTGTTGGGGGCGAGGAGTTAGGAATAAGCAGGACGACCGATAAGAAGACTCTAGAAGATCTGGATTTCGCGTGTGGATGATATTTGTTTAATGTCACACAAACTCGAAGACTTGCAGGAAGGCGTAAACCAACAAAATGGCAGAAAATGCAAACAGAGAAGACAGGATTCCAGGTAGACATGGAGAAGACGGAGGTGATGAAGATAACCAACCAACCAGCCAACAGCAATAACCAGCACCAATCACCATCAATGGGAGAAATTTGACAGAGGTTACTTCCTTCACTTACCTAAGAAGCACGGTTTCAACCACAGCCAGCGGAACAAATGAAGATGTCAAAACCAGCCAGCCAGAATCGGAAAGGCAACCTGAAATCAGTTTGGAAATCTTCTGCACTCCACCTAAGCATTAAAGAACATGATTCCGACTCTGTTCAACACAAATGTGAAGTTAGTCAGTCAGTCAGTTCTTCGATATGGGTCAGAAACTTGCAGTGCGAGTCATGTAAAGGATTTCCAACAAGTTACATACTTTTATCAACAGCTGCATTCGGTGACGCCATACTGATGATCAGATGGCCAGCCCGCCGGTCGGCAAGAAAGAATTAGCAACAAGAAACTCGGTAGTGGAACAAACAAACCAAGCGACAGCCGATTGCTCAACAAATATGCAGGAGAAAATGGAGATGGATCGGTCGCCCGTACGTTGAGGAGGCCATCGAATGACATTGCGCTCAATGCAGGAAATCGCTCGAGTGGAATCCAAATGTGAAGCGACGAGTAGGTCGTCAATGACATGGAGGAGGAGATCAGAGATTATGGGCAATCGTGTACCCAGCTGAAGCGGACAGCAGAAAATAGAACAAAGTAGAAACGTGTTGTTGAAGCCCTATGATGTTCTAATTGGAACCCAAAGGAATCATAATACATAATAATATAACACTTTTTTTGACTACACATCTGCTTACGACTGTGTATCCAGATGTCCTCTGTTAAATAAGTTTTCTCTGACACAAACTCAGTCCTTAGTTGTATTCTTATTTCTCGAACAGCATGCAATACACCATGTATAAAGGGAAATTCTCCTCTGACTTGCCTGATTATTGAAACTGGCGTCCTTCAAGGTGCTGTTCTCTCTCCCGCCTTTTCCTTTCTTCGTACATAACTTACCCCTCCCGGATGAAATCAACTTTGTTAAATACGCTGATGACCTGACTGTCTCGCTGCCAGTTTCGTCACAATCTGAATGTTTCAAACTTTTAATAGCTTTTTGTCCGACAGTAGTCAGTGGTCTAAGCTAAATGGTCTTATATTAAATCCTTATAAATGTCAGACAATTAACTTCACTTTGAGGCATAAACTTGATGATCGATAAGAACTGGTCCGTTCGATAGATGCTGCTTTTAGCGCAAAGACCATTGAAATACGAACTATGTCAAGCATTAAATACCTTGGAATAGTTCTTTCCTCTGAGTCTCATCCGGTACCATGTCGATTTCTGAGGAATTACTTATATATTTAGACAGGTTTTGACCATATATCCTTGTCTATAAAACATAGTGGAAATCCATTTTCTATTAGGATTTTTCGCTAAAGATTTAACTTATCCTCCACAGCATCAGGGCTTCATACATATGCGCCGAATGCGAGTGCCAAGCGACCGGATCAAGTTTCTATTTTCGCCCAATGGGTACCCACCCAGCTGTAGAAATTTTTCCCAGTTGACCGTTCCATGACAGCTTTCGATAAATCGACCTCTTCAGAGTTCCATCAGTCCTATATGATAAGTTCACATCGAGGAAATGAATACTAGACTCGTTCTCTATTTCCAGTGTGAATTTTATCGCTGGATAGCGACCATTCATTGCATTGAATATATATTATTACAATTCGCTTAAAACAAGGAGAGTTCTGGGTGGAAAGGGAACAGGTCAAGGTAGCCACCACTGCTACACTCTGGCCTGCTGTGGAATCTATAGACTCATAAATTCTCCATTATTTTTCTTAATTTGTCTGGTATTGATTTTGGTGTTATACTGATGCATATAGTCACTCTTAGTGTGTCTCTAAGTCAGCCAGCTCGTTACTAAATTTAGTCGATAGACACCTAAACTCATGTGAGAAATAGTCCAAATACACAGTCTGTCTGTCTGGATTCAACATAGAACTTGGCACCGAAGTGCAGCAGTTCGAGTTGCCACGTTCCAAATAGCACATAAACGTAGACAAGAAAATTAGTGAAGAGAATCAATAGAGTTTTGACAAGTATGAGTGAAACAGAATGAGTAATGGTAGAGAGGAATATGAAAGATTACAGAGACTGAATACATCTGCGTAAGCCATTGACAACGATTTTGAGCCATATCACCAATTGTCTCCAGCCTTCATTGGTTTTTACCGTCCCGAGGTTCCCAACCCGTCAGGAAGTCTACACCTTCCTACGTGGCTGGCTGGCTTAAACTAACTGTTGTAGATTTCATTGACTGATGAAGCCATGTTTTGGTTTGATCGCCGCTAGCTCTTTTCCAGCCTGACCGTATGTCAGCTAACATTGCCTGTCGAGGAAGGTGATGATTAGGCATACGTAACACATGTCCTAACCATCTCAATCGATGTAATTTCACAGTCTCGTCGATTGATTCCCCCCCCCTCCTTACCCAGCACTCGACCGAAGTCTAACCTCAATATTGCTCACCCTATTATACCACTTCACGAGGGAGATAGAACGCAGAAACCTACGATCGAAGTAGCTAGTCTTTTCATGTCTTCCACTCTCAATGGCCAGGTCTTACAGCCATAAAGGAGGACGGAGCGGACTGATGAGCAGTACACACGCCCTTTGGTCGATAGTCGGATATCACACTGTAATCTATCGATTTTACTGATTCAGTGTAATTAAAAAAACATTAATGTTATTACTATTATTATTAACAATAATTCTCCAACTGTAGAACCTGACGAAGAAGAAGGCGTCTTTTGAAACTTATTAATGAGCGGCTTTATTATTATTATTGTTATTATTATTATTCCCATGGGGTTCCGAGTGGAACATAGGTCTCCAATAGCACTTCCCCTAATTTGTCTTGTTCTCAGCAGCCCTCTTTAGCTGACGCAAAGATTGCCCATAAGCTGTAACCTCCTCCTCCTCCCCTTCCTCATATGATCACCTCCATTTCACCCTCAGACACACGGCAAACTTATCATTTCCCACTGAAATCCCAATCCAACAATGACCTGATGTGCAATGTTATCACCCAATGCTCTCTCTCTTCACCAAATGTCCAATCGATCTACAGTTTACTTCATAAGAGTTGTTGTTGAGAAATAGGAGGTTATGGTTGATTGGCCAGCTAACTGACCATTTGATCTTCAGGATGGAGCCAGTGAAGGCAGCAGCAGCAGCAACTATTGATAAGAATTTATAGTTATATTATTATTGTTATTGTTCCCTTGGGTTCCTAGTGGAACATAGGGCTTCAACTGTACGTCTCCACTTGCTTCTGCCTTCTGCTGTACTTTTCACCTGCATCCATGTTAGTCCATACTGTTTCAACTCTTCTTCACACGATCTCCTCCATGTCACCCTTGCACTGACGTCCCACTACTCGCCGCTTCCCTTTCGGGTTCCACTCGAGCGTTGGCCTGACGCTCAATGTCACCCAGCGGCCTCCTCAGCTCAGTGAGTGTCCAATCCATCTCCACTTTCTCCTGCATATTTGTTGAGCGATTGCTTCTTGTTTTGTTTGTTCCCATAGTTTCTTGTTGGTTCTTGTTCTTTCCGGCCATCTGATCTTCAGCAGTATAGAGCGAAGACAGTTGTTTGATAAAGGTCTGCAACAGGCTGTTGGAAATATTCTTTGTGACCCGCCAAGTTTCTGATCCGTATAGAAGAACTGACTGACTTGACGTTTGTATTGAAAATCCGAATTTTGTTGTTGATGCTGAGTGACAGCGGAAGATTTCCAGATTGGTTTCAGGTTGATGAATGTGTTTGAAAAAAAATGTCTGCTGAAAATGCTTTTCATAACTTATTCACCAAGTTTTTCACGCATATAATAGAAGAACTAACGAACTACCTAACTAACTCGACATTGGTGTTGAAAACCTGAATTGTGTTGTTGTTTCTGCTGAATGCAGAGGATTGTGCTTAATCTAACTTCATCAGAGGGATGAAGGAAGGTCTGTCTGCTTAGGACATCTTCAAGCAAATATTTTATTTAAAATTTATAACTTCACCGCATTATTATTATTATTATTAGATAAACAACAAATAAAGTATGACTAACCTTCTTTCATTTGTTGTTTACACTTCTCTTGTTTGGCCAATATACTCGGAAGATTGATCTGTTTATGCAAAAAACAATTGTGAATTACACACAAGCAAATATTTTAGGAAACAACAGCGAAATAAAATATTAAAATATTTTTCTAATGGTCTACGAGCTCGCTAGCCTTGCAACTGGAAGGTCCTAGGTTCGAACTTTCTGGCAGTGGATGCGTACTGCCGAAGAATCCCAAACTAGTGGGACGAAACAGCTAGTTATCTGATACTCCCTGCCTGGTTTTCCAATGGTTCTCTCTAACTGATGTCAGCTCATGGCGAAATCACCCAACCAATCAAACGAAAACTCCTATAAAAACCAAAACTTGAAAATTGACCTGATGCTCACTAGCGACAGGCCCTATTCAGGTAGGCAGTTAACCTGGGGTTCTAGTGGGAAGCCGTGACCAGTAGGGTGCAGCAGGTTGAAGGTGACACTGGAAAGCGGTCGCGCTTTATCATGAATTGGCAGAAGTTAGAATTCATGGGTTGGCCATTGGATCGGGTCCCAGTGGCTTAATGGTCTACGAGCTCGTCTTGTAACCAGAAGGTCCTGGGTCCGAACCTCCTATGGTGGGTGCGTACTGATGAAGAGTCCCAAACTAGTGGGACGAAACAGCTAGCTGTTCTGTACTCCCTGCCTAGTTTTCCAGTGGTTTTCTCTAACTGATGTCAGCTCATGGCGAAATCATCCAACCAATCAAACGAAAATTCCTACAAAAAAACCAATACTTGAAAATATTTGTTGCACCCTGATTTGGTCGTTTGTTTGTATTATTCTTATTTTTGTTTTACTGAACGATTGAATATTTCTACTTGCGTTACTAATGGAGACGTGTGGGTGGGTGGGTGTATGAGTGACTATCCATTGACTTAAGAACCAAAACCCTGTCAGGTAACATGCGCCTTAGGTTCGAGTCCCACTCTATCTATTTGAAAACTTCAGTGGAAGCTGTGATTCACTGGCATATAGAAGCAGCCAATCACCAACCAGTACTGGGTCACTACTGGTGTTCGAATCTTGCTCTGTCTGATGAGATTGCGCGGGTAGATAGTGTGGTGTGTGGTGTGATGCAGATTGATAGGATGCGGTCGAAAATTGAAGTCAATATTTTAAGTCGATGGTAGCTGCAAAGGAGGCAGAAGAGTTCATTCCTCAAATTTGGATTTAGTTTAAGTTTGCAGACTTGAAATAACCACCTTTGTGGACAACTTGTCTAACCTTAGAAGGTCAATTGTCAACCAATCAGAATGATTTATCCTCCTTTGAACTAGACAAACTTTAATGTGGTTAAGAATGTATATAAATATGATGTGCTTTTCGTTAATAAAAAGTTCATTACCAAGTATCTTATATTCTCTCGTTACACACCAGATGTATCAGAAATTATGATTTTATTACTACTTTGTGTAAACGCAGAAAAACTTGGTACAATATGGCACCAAGAAGATACGCCACACAATAATAATAAAACAACATTTGAGATAAAAAGTAAAAATGTAGGTAGAGAATGAATATAGGACTTGATCTGGGAAGAAAGTAGTTATATTTAGCAAGTTTAAACAGCATTCGTCAATTATCGTCGGAAAGAGAAGAAGGAAGGAAATTGCAACACGTTCGCCATTGATGACTGAGATTCCTGGCAATATCCAATAGCGTTTCGAACCATCGATTCGAGCTACCTCTCGGACTCCAACCAGGGAGACGTGACGCACCAACCGATCCTAACCTAACACAAATATCCTTCATCCCACGACGCCATATCATGGACTGACCACCTCTCCGCCTTTTCCATCCCGTCCCAGGGCTAGCGAACAGAGACTTGTACGGAAACCTCTGGGATAACATTCGCAGCATATGTCCAAGCCACCGGAGCCGGTGTTTTCAGATGACGACACTCAGCAAATGGTGATCTCCACTGCGTTCAAATACACGCCGGCGAACCTCAGATTTACTCACGCGACTATGCCATCGAACGCAAGCAATCCTGCAGAGACAGCGATGGTCGAACACGCAGAGCCGCCACACATCCTCAGGTCGGAGAAGCTAGGTTTCACAGGCGTAGAGCAAGACAGCCCGCACCGAAGCATTGTATACTCAACCTTTGACAGCCAGGCTAACGTCGCGACGGTACCAGAGGTGACTCAAGTTAACGTATGTCATCCTAGCTTTCATGATGCGGTTGGAAGTCTCATCCGTCACCCTTCCGCCAGCACTCACACAACTACCCAGATACACAAACTTATCGACAACTTCAAGCAGTTCACCTGCAAGAGTGAGTGCAGGTACAGGCTCCTACCAATCTTGTAACAGTACTTTGCACTTAGACAGTGCAAAGCACATACAATACTTATACAAACTGATCGCCAACTGATTAAGTGCGATTTGGGCAGCCTGCATGCTCTCACACAGTAAGACGATATCGTCTGCACACTCGAGGTCGAAAAGTCTTTCTCCAAGGAGCAGATCTACACCACCACCACCACGCACGTCCTTCATAGCTGACTCCATAATGTCACCGATGAAAAAGTAAAAGAGAAATATGGGGAGATTGTGCAACCCTGTCTAATTTCACCTTTTGGAATTATGATAATGCAGATTACAGGATTATGGGGATATTGGATTAATTTAATTTCGACTGTTAGATTTCATCACGAACCACCAACATCAGTTAGAGGAGTCACAACACTGCATACCAGGGAGTACTAGACAGTTGTTTCGCATAATTTTGCGACTTCTCATCAGTGCTCACCCACGACCTTTCACCACCGCGAGGTTTCAAACCCAAGACCTTCGGGTTAAGGGACCAAGCTTGTTGACCATTCCAACTGACTGCTCTCAACGTGGAATTTTGCACAGATGTGCCGCAGTTCCAGTTGTCACACTCCCTCCATGTACCACACAAAGTAAGAGAAAAGAGTACAGAGAGACTAATCAAAAAAGAGAGATAATGAACAGAAATATGAGGCAAACAGAATAGTAATATGGAAGAACAACAGAATTTTACTAGACATCATAAATCACAAAGAGTGGATGTATCTGCGTCAGCCTTTAAGAACGAGGATTTTGAGCCAGCCACATCACCGATTATTTCCAACCTTCATTGGTTCTTACCATCCCGAGACCCCAACTAAGCAGCTAGCTTAAACCTCCCTACATGGCTTAAACTATCTGCTGTGGATTTCATTGGCTGATGAAGCCATGTTTTCGTTAATTCTTTTCCAACCTGATCCATTCTATGTCAGTCGGCTAACATTGGCCGTCGAGGAAGATGGTGGCTACGCCAGCATCCGTAACACATGTCTTAACCATCTCAATTGGTGAAACTCCACAACCTCGTCGAGTGATTTCCCTTCCCTCCTTACCAAAGCCTAACGTCACCATTGCTCATGCTATTATACCACTTAACACGGGAGATAGAACGCAGGCACCATTGACCATTCAGCCAATTCGGCTGGAATTTGACGACCTGTGAATTCTAACGTCGTCAATTCGTGATATACGGCTACCGTCACTAATAAACCTTCGATGAGCATCCACCTCACACACCTTGACACATGGTGGATCCCATTGGCTACGTGTTCGCACCATAGTATCCAAGACATTCCTCTACCCAGTAGTCATCACTGAGGTAGAGATCATTGATAACCAGTAATCCCTGGTTTCCAATTATCTCTCTGGTAACTGATGTGTTGGTTTTTGATGAAGAGAGCAATGAAGTTTTGAACTTATCACTCAATGAACAGTTGTCAAAAGCCTGAGCCAGTCAGTAAGTGACGTCATATAAGTTGCTTATTTACTTGACCATTGAAAGTGGAAGGCATGAAAAGGTCGGCTAGCTGTCTTTGATCATAGGTGTCTGTGTTTTCTACCTACATCCCGTCTTAGATGGTATAAATAAGGTGAGTAATATATTCCGGTTAGGCATCGGTCAAGTGCTAGGTAAGGATGGAAAGGAAATCAATCGACGATGTTGTGAATCTATATCGATTGAGTTGATTAGGACATGTGTTACGCATGCATCCCTAGCCATCACCTTCCTCGACAACAGGCAATGTTAGCTGACATAGGATAGATCAGCTTAGAAAAGAGTTAGTGGTAGTCAAACCAAGACGTGGAAACAGTCCATGAAATCTATATCAGTTAATTTAGGCTGGCCACGTAGTAAGATGTAGGCTGGTTGCCTAGTTGGAGTCCTCGGGATAGTAAAAACCAATGAAGACTGGAGGCAATTGGTGATATGGCTGGCTCAGATGCACTCACTCTTTGTGATTTGTCATATCAATTAAAACTTTATTGTTCTTCCATATGACTATTCTTTTTCCCTCACTCACACTTCTAGATGTGATATCCGTGGCTATCGACTAAAGGGCGTGTGTACTGCTCATCAGTCCGCTCCGTCCTACTTTATGGCTGAGTTAGAAATGGCCATTGAGAGTGGAAGACATGAAAAGTCTGGCTGGCTGTCTTTGATCATAGGTGCATGCGTTCTATCTCCCGTGTGAAGTGGTATAATAAGGTGGGCGATATTGAGGTTAGGCTTCGGTCGAGTGCTGGGTAAGAAGGGAGGGGAAATCAATCGACGACGCTGTGAAGCTACATCGACTGAGATGGTTAGGACATGTGTTACGTATGCTAGCGTAGTTATCGTTTTCCTCGACAACGGGGAATGTTAGCTGATATAGAGTCATGCTGGAAAAGAGCTAGCGGCGGTCAAACCAAAACATGGCACCAGTCAATGAAATTCCCAACAGTTAGTTTAATCTAGCCACGTAGGAAGGTGTAGACTTCCTGACTAGTTGGGATCCTCGGGACGGTAAACACCAATGGAGGCTGGAGACAATTGGTGATATGGCCCAAAATTGTTCTCAATGACAGTGCAGATGCATCCAATCCTTGGGACTTATGATATCCAATGAAACTATATTGTTCTTCGATATTACTATTCTTTCTGTCTCACACCTCTGTTTACTGTCTCTATTATACATACATTTCTTTTACTTTCTTCTCTCGCTTTGTGTGGTACATGGAGGGAGTGTGGCGACTTGAACTGCTGCACATCGGTGCAAAGTTCTGTGTCGAAAACAGACAGACAGACTCACACTTCTGATTGTTATCTCTCTTTACTCTCTTCTGGTGTGCGTCGGTGACAAAGCGGTAGAATGCTCGCCGACCACTCATGGGGTCCGGGGTTCGATCCCCGGCCACAGATGCACTCCCTTACCTCGCTAAGAGGTTGGTAAAGAGGAAAGGTTGGGCTGGGCATGAGGCTGGCTAGGAACCCCACCCCGTAAAAAGTAAATACCACTGCAACCGAAACTTCAAGCCTCTAGCTTGAAGCCGCCCTATATTCCACTGGGAACGCAAAGGAATATTAAAAAAAAACTCTCTTCTCGTACACTGTGGTGTGCTACATGGAAGGAGTGTGGCAACTAGAACTGGTGCACTTCTCTGTAAAAAAGTTCTATGTTGAAATGAGTAAACAGATAGATAACTATTCATTCAATGTCTTTCCCGCCCCCTACGTCACCTCAAGAAAATAAATACTGACCTATTCTACTCAAATGTAAACCACTCCAAATTAGACAACTTTCTAAGCATAAATGTTATTCATACAATGGCCTCCAAAGCCTCAGGATGGTCGGGGGTGGGTGCCTTGCGCTGCGGGTTGGCCACCCCTCCGCACACTTCTTGAAATGCTCCCATATGACCGGGCGTCTTACATAGCCTCTCCTGAGGAAGTCCTACTCACTGCCTTCACGTGGCGGAGGTGTTTTTCACCAAAGTGAGAGGGCGAAAGCGGATGCCCGGCGCTCTTCACCGGGTTGACTGTCCATTGGATGACAGTCTAGGGGAGATGGCTAAACCCTGATTCCAAACCTCCAACGACTGGCGTATGAAGCTCACTGGAGCCCACCGGCAGACGTATGGACAAAGGGCTTGTTGGATGTCCTGGATGTCTGGCCCCATTCAAAAAGGCGTATGAACCGAACTCCGGTTACCGGCTGCCAATGGGTAGTGGACTCCCTACTCCACTCCTACTGCCTTGTAGGTCACACTTGGTTGTGTAAAGGCTAGAGCTGCACTCTCAAACAAAAGGCCGAGCGATTCTGGGGACATCACTCGTACCAAATTCTCATGAAACTCCATGAACTCTCTTATTCGAGATGTTCATGAAGTCGGTTCATCCTCCCGTAGGCGATAGCCGAAGTAAAGTAAAAGTAAAGTAAGAAGAAAAAGGGGTGGTGAAGGGGAAGGGATTGTTAAATCAAAAAAAATTCACAAACCTTAAAATATTCCTCCGTAGCTTCATTAATTTTCTCCATAAACTTTGCCATACCTTCACCTGTTATTGAAGAGATACCACAACAGCGTAGATCTCGATAAAATTCATCCAGTACTAACGACATGGAATGAACTAGACTATTCATATATGGTGATACTCCAGGATTATGAAATGATGCACCATCTCCGTCAGCTAATAATTCCGATGGTCGTCCATCCTCTGATTGATTATTATGACCAGCTAAAGCGTCTTGAAAGGCTTCAAAATCTCGCATCCACTCAATAGCAAAATCACAGTCGATAACATCAGTCTATATATATGAAACAATAACAACAAAAAAACAAAATGGTGCAATAATGAGGAGAGAGAAAAGGCATTTACTTAGGCATTCGTGAGTCAACCAACTAACACAAATATAGACAAATTATCAAGTTTCCATCATGAACTGACATCATTTAGAGGACAATTGAGAAACTGACAGGGAGGGAGTACTGAACAGCTAACTGTTTCGCCCTATTTCGAGACTTTTCACACTAAGCACCCCCTGCCACAGGAGGTTCGAACGCAGAGCCTACCGGTTACAAGGCAAGCTCACAAACCATTAAGCCACTAGGACCCGACCCAATGGCCAGCCCATTGAGTTCCAACTTCTGCCAATTCACGATATAGCGCGACTAGCACCAAGCCAATATCATTGCTGGCGAGTATTTGATCTCACACTCAACCTGCTGTACCCCACTGGACACAACTTCTCACTAGAGAACCCTTGTAACTATCTACCTGAATATGGCCAGTCGCTAGTAAGCATCATATTGTAACCAATCAAATCCCTGCAAACCAACACTTGAATAACTAGATGATTATTAAGACTACTATTTGGTGTAGTTGCGAAAATAGGAAGTGATCTTGACAGTGGATCGCTTATTTACATTAGTTCCTACCTTAGGCGTGGAATATACTATGATTCAATGATTCAATTCTACTACTGGCCTGTTTATTTTCTGAGATGTGGGAAGTTGTAATGATACACTAAGATGTCATATGCTACTCTGTATAACATGATGATTATTCTAATTTATAGTAGCATCCCCCCCTCCGGCATAAACGACCTAGTCTACTCGACTGTGGGTAGGCTCCGGTCTTCCTCGCAAAATGCTCTCATATGGCCAGGTATTCATTAGCCCCTGTGACACAGAGATAAATCGTATTCATAAGTGAAAGAGTGAATGCTAACAACCTGACCTTTACAACCGGATTGGTGGAGGATATGCTAGTCTACTATCTAGAGGACCTGGAAAACCATAATTCCAAACCTATAATGGTGTATGTGGGCTGCACAATCTGAAAATATAGAATGGTGTGTATAAACCTTTTCTGGTCAATGAAAAAACCATGGGAACGTAGCTCCTGATGCTGCTCTACTACTTTGTGGATCAGACTACAAACAAGTCAAAGAGAGTTTTGTTTCAATGATATTTTCAGATCCCTTCCTTACTACAGAAACAATGTCACACTTATCGTCGGTCGGTCGGTCGGTTTTCGACATAGAACTTTGCACATATGTGCGGCAGTTCAAGCCGCCACACTCCCTCCATGTATCACACAAAGCGAGAGAAGAAAGTAAAAGAAATGCATAATAGAGAAAGTAAACAGAGGTGTGAGACGAAGGGATAGTAATAATGAAGAACAAAACAGTTTCATTGGAAATCATAAGTCACAAGGAGTGGATGCATCTGCACCAGCCATTGAGAACGATTTTGAGCCATGTCACCAATTGTTTTCAACCATTGTTTTTTACCGTTCCGAGGACCCCAACCAGTCAGGAAGTCTACACCTTCCTACGTGGCTTAGACTAACTGTTGTCTATTTCATTGATTGGTGTCATGTTTTCGTTTGACCGCCTCTAGCTCTTTTTCAGCCTGGCATTATATCAGCTAACATTGCCCGTTGTCGAGGAAGGCGATGACTAGGCATACGTAGCACATGTCCCAAGCATCTCAGCTGATGTAATTTCACAGTCTTGTCGATTGATTTCCCCGCCTTACCTAGAACTCGACGCCTAATCTCAATATTGCTCACCTTATTATACCACTTCACGCTGGAGATAGAATGCAGACACCTATGACCGAAGACAGCTAGTCTTTTCATGTCTTCTGCTCTCAATGGCCATGTCTAACTCACAGCATTAAAGGAGGACGGGGCAGACTATTGAGCAGTATACACACCCTTTGATCGACAGTTAGTCGGATATCACGTCTACGCCATATCACGTCTACTGGCATATGCGAAATTAGCCCTCTGTATCCGTGCTGAGATTTCGTCAGAGATCAACCCGTTGGGGCTGATGGTACTTCCCAAATAAGTGAAGCGGTCAACGTGCTCTACCATTTCACTTCCTATTTCTAATCTAGGGGTCGGTGAAGTCCAATCCTGCAGCATCATCTTACATTTTACAGGGGCGAATCGCATGCCAAACATACGAAGATTGTTGCTCAAGGTGTTCAGTAGACTCTGCATTTTGTCAGCGTCCTCGCCTAGAAGGACTATATCGTCCGCATATTCTAAGTCGACGAGATTATTCCCTGGTAGCAAGTCAATCCCTGAGTCGCTGAAGTGTGTTAGGGTTAAGTCCAAACTTATCGTACATGTTACAAAGTGAAAACCTTCGTTTAGCCGATTATTTCAAATATCTGGCACGGTATAGATGCATAGAGAGGACGCTTCAGTTAATCTTTTACCGTCTGTGGTGTTGGGGAGAAGTATGGATGCTTATTATGGTTGAATGTACAGCATTTCCCTTATCTTACTCTCTGTAGTTGTTGTTTTCACGTGAAGGGGATGGGGTGGAGTTGTTTGCCTTAAGCCCGACCTTTCCTATTTCCAGATTTTATTGTCAGTTAGTGGACGGCTCAAAATCGTTCTCAATGACAGCGGAGATGCATCCAACCCTTGTGACTTATAATACCCAATGAAACTATATCGTTCTTCGTTATTACTATTCCTTTTGCCTCATATCTCTGCTTACTGTATCTATTTTGCATTTCTTTTTACTTTCTTCTCTTGCTAAGTGTGCTACATGGAGAAAGGGTGGTGACTTGAACTTCTGCACATCGGTGCAAAGTTCTACATTGAAACCGTGTGCTTTTGGAAGTGTGTGCGCGGTTGTTACTTCTCGGTTGCCCACACCACGGAGGTTGCTTCTGTCTGTCTGTCTGTTTTCGAGTATCTGTTTTGGTTTCTGAAACAGAGAGAGGGTTAGTGTTGTGTGACCACAGAGCCCAGGGGACAACTGCTTGAGGCCGGTCACACACACAGCCTGTATAAACTGGTTTCTTGGTTTGGTTCTGTATTAGTAAACTTACCCCGGTTACGGACCACAGTAGGGTAAGTTGGGATGTACAATTTTTGGGGCCGACCTTTTCTAACCCCCTCTCTCCAGAGTGGAGAGACAGCATAGCTGGCTGGCACTCTGGTCATCTGAGGCGAACACCTCACTGCTGTTACACCCCGGTTCCCCAGCAGTACGACTTCACCCACAAACCCCCAGCATAGTGTAAGAAAAATGCTTACACTAAGCCGGCAACTGCTTTTAGTCTAATCGCTATCCTAACAATCAGCCCCAACGGGTTGATCTCTGACGAAATCTCAGCACGGATACAGAGGGCTAGTTTCGCATATGCCAGTTTACGCCGTCTCTGGCGTAGACGTGATATCCGGCTGACTGTCGAACAAACGACGTGTGTACTGCTCAACAGTCCGCTCCGTCCTCCTTCATGGCTGTGAGTTAGAAATAACCATTGAGAGTGGAAGATATGAAAAGCCTGGTTGGCTGTCTTTGATCATAGGTGCTTGCGCTCTATCTCCTGTGTGAAGTGATATAATAAGGTGAGCAATATTGAGGTTAGGCATCGGTCGAGTGCTAGGTAAGGAGGGAGGGGAAATCAATCCACCACGCTGTGAAGCTACATCGACTGAGATGGTTAGGACATGTGTTACGTATGCCTAGTGTAGCTATCGTTTTCCTCGACAATGGGGAATGTTAGCTGACATAGGGTCAGGCTGAAAAAGAGCCAGCGGCGGTCAAACCAAAACATGTCACCAGTCAATGAAATCCACAACAGTTAGTTTAATCTAGCCACGTAGGAAAGTGTAGACTTCCTGACTGGTTAGGATCCTCAAGACGGTAAAAACCAATGAAGACTGGAAACAATTGGTGATATGGCTCAAAAGTGTCCTCAATGATAGCGCAGATGCATCCAACCCTTGTGACTTATGATATCCAATGAAACTATTTTGTTCTTCGATATTACTATTCCTTCGTCTCACACCTCTGTTTACTGTCTATTTTGCATTTCTTTTACTTTCTTCTCTTGCTTTGTGTGCTACATGGAGGGAGTGTGGCGAGTTGAACTGCTGCACATCGGTGCAAAGTTCTATGTCGAAAACAGACAGACAGACAGACGTTGAAACCAGCCAATCAGTAGTAGACGGCTATACAAGGCTTAAAAGTACGTTACCCGGCAGTCAAACCTGCATCATAAGCATGCTTGGTAGGCAGGCATTCTGCGATTGAAACCAACATAAAATGCATTGAAAGAAAAAACAACAACAAGAGGTAAATGCAATTTTAAAACGTATAGATTACCTTGTTAAGGACCAGTATAAACGGAAGACGCATTTTATATAGAACACTACATGCATAAAGCATATTTGACATGAATGTAATAGGATTATGACTTCTTGGTGTATCCATTACATAGATAATTATTGTAGGAAAAGAATTACCCTACAGTTGAAAAAAAAAAAACAAATTAGATTTTTTTCATTTCAACAACCTACTAGTAATTCTGTAATAATTGCTCCTGAAGCAGACCATGTGAATACTTCAATTTGTCCAGGTGTATCGATGACGGCATAGGAGACTTTACTTGAATTACTATTCTTATGATTATTGATTAAATCCACAACTTTATGAAATTGTGAAGCGAAAAAATTCAATGATGTCATAATAGCACCATTTGGACCATAACCGTATTGTTTCATAACTTCTTTAAATTTGACAGTATCACGAATATCTTTCGGAGGAAATAGTTATCAGGAATAATTAGAAAACAAGAAGCCTTACCAATATTAGGACTATAAGGGATATGATGAACAGCTGGATCTAAATTAATTGTATACGGTAAGTTCGATGTAGTTGTTAAATACTCCGTCAGTTTATTGACAAATGTTGTTTTGCCTGAACCAGCCATACCCAATATAATCAAGCAGACAGGTTTGCCACGTAATTCTTCTTCTGTAACACTCATTATGATTGATTGATTGAATGAATGAGCGACTGACTAATTTGTTTTTGATAGAATTCTAGATAAATGTGAGCAACATTAAGACTATTTTATAATTATTGTATTATTATTAATAAATAACTTAAAAAATATATTCTCATTTATGCTTTAAAATCAAATCTTACACCAAAGTCGTCTAACAGTCAGTCCTTCTCTATGGCTCTGAAACATGGCCAATACGAGTTGAAGACATGAAAAGGTTGACTGTTTTTGATCATAGATGTCTACGACCTCTTTCTCACGTTAGGTGGCATAATAAGGTAAGTAATGTTGACGTTAGGCGTAGTGTTGGGCAAAGAGGGAAAATCAATCGACAAGGCTATAAAGTTACATAGATTGACATGGCTAGGTCACGTGATGAGCATGCCTAACCATCGCCTTCCCCGACGGGCATTACTAGCTGATATAGGTGCAGGTTAGAAAAGAGTAGGTGGTGGCCAAACAAAAACATGGCCTCATCAATCCATGAAATCCTTGACAGTTAAACTGAGTCAGGTAGGGAGGGAGATGCAGACTTCCGGGTTGGGGCCCTCGGGACTCTAAGAATCAATGACTGGAGACAATAGGTGACATGGCTCAAAATCGTTGTCAATGGCTTACGCAGATGTATTCAGTCTCTGTAATCTTTCATATTCCTTTCTACCATTACTCATTCTGTTTCACTCTTATACTTGTCAAAACTCTATTGATTCTCTTCACTCATTTTCTTCTCTACCTTTGTGTGCTCTTTGGAACGTGGCAACTCGAACTGCTGCACTTCGGTGCCAAGTCCTATGGTGAATCCAGACAGAGAGACAGATATGACTCAAAATCGTTCTCAATGACAGCGCAGATGCATCCACTCCTTGTGATTTGTGATTTCCAATGAAACTGTTTTGTTCTTCGTTATTACTATTCCTTTGTCTCATACCTCTGTTTACTGTCTCTATTATGCATTTCTTTTTACTTTCTCTTGCTTTGTGTGCTACATGGAGGGAGTTTAGCGACTTGAATTGCCGCACATATGTGCAAAGTTCTATGTCGAAAACAGACAGTATAATGAAACATCATCAAGTTATGACTGACTTTTGTAGAAATTGAGTAAATGGCTTCACAACAGTTTTCAATACTTGAACCACTCCAAATCTTCGTATGGATACAAAAGACTGATGTAGTGCTTTTGACAACTTACATCACCTCTGGCATAGACGGCTGCTGCTAATCGGTTGACTAACCATCAGCAGTTCAATTCGTCCTTCTTTATGGCTGTGAACGAAACGTGGCCATTGAAAGTGGAAGACATGAAAAGCCTGGCTGGTTTACTTTTTGATCATAAATGTTTTTGTTCTGTCTCCCATGTTAGGTGGTATAATAGGTTGATGAATGATGAAGTCATGCGTTGAGTGTTGGGTTAGGAGGGGAAATCAATCGGTGAGGCTGTGAAGCTACATCGATTGGTATGGTTAGGGCATGTGTTACGCATTGCTAGCCATTGCCTTCTTCGACAATAGCCAATGTTGGAAAAGAAGTAGTAGTGATGGTCAAACCAAAGCGTGGAACCAGTCCCTGAAACCTCTGACAGTTAGTTTGAGCCAATCACGTGGCGGAGGTGTAAACTGCCTAGTCGGGGTCCTTGGGATGGTAAGAACCAATGAGGACTGGAGACAATCGATAGTAAGGCTTAAAACCGTTCTCCATGGGCTGCAGAATCAATCACACTTTATGATCTCATATATATGCTAGGCTGTCATGTTTTTCCATATTACCATTCCGTCTCGGATTTCTGCTTATTGTCCTGCATATCTGCGCAAAATTCTGCATTGAAACTAGTCAGTTATGTTAATAGCCTGTCATATAAGGATCCAATCTTCTACCAATAGGAAATCACAATTAAAAAAATAAGGATTGGTAGGGAGATTTACAATTAAGTCGCCCAGGACAAACTGATTATACCGATTACACCGAGCTGCGAACTACATTTTTTATGCGAGAGCTGGCGATCGTCTGAGACGTAGGCAAATGGTGGGTTAAAAAGCAGCAAAAGATACCCACTCTTACTATCTTTTCCCATCTGTCGTACATTGCTACCTACTTCTTTTAACATTACTCATGTCATTTCCAGAAATATCCTACTTTTCCCAATTTAGAACGAAATACTACTCAAATTTTCATCCGATTTAGCCATGCTTCCCAGCTAACACTATTTTCGGGCGCACTGCAGATTTTTTGAGGCAAATACTTCGGGCGCATTGCAGAACTTGGGACATTGGCTCTAAGTTTGCCCCAAAAAGATTTGCCTGAAAAAAGAGTATTTAAGCCAATGGTACTCTTAAATGTGTCGCAACATACGTTAATGCAGAGACTATGTATGAAGTAACATCCCCCATTATACTAAAAGGTTCCGGTATGAATGAAACCAATTTGTTTTTGTCCCACCAAGCATTTACTTCAGCTACACTAGAGATGCTTTGGGAAACACGGACGCAGAGCGGAAACTCCAGAAAACTCTGGAAAATAATACACATAACACCATGTACTCTATGTGTTGTTTTTGCAGTTTAGGCTATTATCACACTACCATGTGCACCAAGCATGTACACATGCATTGACAATTTTTCTACAGTTTTTGATGAGTTCGATCACATGAAGTTAAAATCTTAAGTGTTACAAAACCAGGACTGGTAGTTCACTAATGGGAATAAAAAAAAACTCACTTAAATATAAGAGCAACGGTTAATCTATACGACACTGAGGAGTGACCTTGAAATCGAAGTGAGCACAAAATACCAGAATTCAATATCTTTGCAAGACTACAGAAATAGGTCACATAAGGAGTAACAGACCACTTCAGGAAACATATGACATGCTGAACTAGCATCCCATCAACTTACTAGAAAGGGCTTGCCGTAGTTCATGTGTGGTTATAGTAGGTCAATGTGGTTTGACAGTGGGTTGAAAAATCCAGACTTCAAAAACCAATGTTGAGTCAGTTCGTCTACTTGGGTCGGAAACTTGGTGCGTGTGTCAAGAGAAGAATTTCCAACAGATTTTCATCAACGGCTGCCCTCACTAGCTCCATATTGGGGATCCGATGGCAGGTGGTAATAATCGGCGACAACAAACAATGAGAATGAATCAAACAGCAACTCTTTCCCCACCAAGTAAGCAGTAAGAAATTGAGATGGATCTAACTCATCCTGTGGAGTCCGTTAAATGAGGGCATGAGACAGGCCATCTCTCGGTTGGAAACATGAATGAGAACGGCGAGTTGGGCGTTGGCCTAAGGGTCACAAAGAGGAGAGTGTCTGAAGAGTCCATCAGTGGCTATGGGTAATAGTATAGCCACCTAGAGAGGAGAGCGGAAACCAGAACAGCGTATAGATATGCTGCTGAAGCACTATTCTCAATTGGGAACCTAAGGGAGCGATAACAATAAGTGTACACTAATCATATCTGTTGTCTCTATCATGTCTCATTTACCGAAAAGACGGGCCATTAACACTGTCTTAACACGCTGCATACTGCCAAAAGGACAGAAATTAAACGTCACGTACAAGACCACTGATGGAGTGAAACGCTCCAAGGTCATTTTCGGCCATGTTGGATTGCAGTTCTGTAGCTGTTCGTTTACACATCGATTTTTCCGTTTATCCAGCAGTTATTCACCACGTATCTTGATGCACATTGTTCACAAATGTTGCATTTCACTTCATTATTGTTTCCGTTTCTGTTAAAATTAGTTATTTCGTTTGTTTCGAAAGTTTTTACCACCAGGTCAGTGCATTCATTTCATTGTAATTGTTTCATACGTTGCATTCATGCATGGTTTCAGGTTTTTAGTTGTTTTTCCACTAATAATGAATTAGTACTGTGTAGAAGTTTTGGAAATTATGCACATGAGCATGTTTGGGTGGCGGAAGCAGTTGTTTCCAGTTCATTCGTTGGTTGCCGTTATTGTTGCTGGCTCAGTTGCTTACTTAACATGTAGAAATCTGGAAAAAACAATGTCTGTCACATTCATGTTTACAGCATGCAACAATCTACGAGTGAATCTGGTGAAAAGAGCACGATCAGGATTGATATTAGCAATGTTTTCGAAGAACTAATTAAACCTAGAGAATTTAGAACCTGGTTTGAAGCTTTTCGACAAGGTGTCTGTTGTCAGCTAAAAAATCAGATATATTGTGAGAATCAAAATCAAGCAAGGATGAGCCAAATGCGAAGTATGAATGTGTGGTGTTTGTATGTACTTTTGGAAGCAAAATTAGGAAGCAATAGGAAATCCCTAAATGATTGTTAATGCCTAGTGTACTAGATCCAAACGCACGAACCAGGACTGTCTGTAGTGAACGCGGTGTTAACAACCATTTTATTTGTTTCAAAACGATTTGAAAAGCGGATAACATACGATGATCTGGTGAGTGTTCGGTAAGAATTTAACTAGCAAGAATAACGTTTCGGATTTTGGTCTACAATCGGTGGTTTTTTCGAAGTTACAACAAGTTGAGAAGCTGATTATTATTCGGGGTGAAAAAATTGGCTGGTTACAAATTGCTTGTTTCAGTTCAAATAATGAAATTCCAATTTTTCGGATGCTTGTGATTTCTCCGTGGCTATAAACACGGTTGCCCGTGATTTATAAGAAAACTTTAAATAAATTTTCCTTGAACCAATGGTCTTCTTTTTCTTTGCGAAGCATCTATTGAGACGATTAGGTAGCAAAGTAGAATGTTCCGTGATTGAGCATCGTAGTCGTTGTGTTTCGGATTTATATCGCGCATCTAATTGCTATAACCCTATGAATAAAGCTTTTTCCTCATGGTGCATTAAGATATCTAGAAACCATAAGCACGCTGCCTTCGGTAAATTTATTTTTACTTTTTAAGTGACAGCAAATAGTAAGTCATTTGAGGCGATAGGATAATTACCTCTAAACGCTTTCGTGAAGAGATTAGGATATGTTTTTTTCCGACTAGGAGACGATCTTT